TTTTTGCAAATTTCTTGATAATTACATAAAATGTGCATATTTTATAAATACCAAGTAGAATATTTAAAATTTTACTCTAAGTTTGATATATTTGTAAATGCCGATATTTCTGACAAATATTATTCGACCAAACAAAACAAAATATTTTACTATAGAGAATTCTAGCTACAGACATACAACATTGAATAATAATAGAAGCATTATCTTATAAACATTGGCAAATATATAATATAAATAATCTGATTTCTGGGACATAAGATTAAGCCAACATAATATTATAGGATTTCTGGAATTATAACCGAAGAAATAAGTAATAATGATGGTCTTAATTGCAGAGTTGTCACTGGAGGATTTTTCTTGCTTCAAATATGCATCCATTGTGTCAGCAAACATGAAAAGAAGTTTTTCGAAGTTTAAAAGGTTGCTACAAGGCAATCGTGAAAGTTTTCAATTTGATAATTTAAAAGCACATTTTGTTACATCGTGTTGTAACTCTTTCAATAATTATTAAAAAATTTATGCTACTTATACATTTTAAATACTGATATTAAATTGTATTTTTTTCACTTAAATATATTTTTTAATTTTTTTAAAATGTTTTTTTAACATACAATAACAATTTTTTTGTATATTTTTTAATTTTTGAGTGCATTAATATGACCTGCATATTTAACGATAATTTTTGTATACAAATTCAGGCAGCATTAGTAATGACTAATGATCTGATTTTAAGGTTTGTAAGTCTTAAATTTCCAAGTTTAAAAAAATATATTTAACAGAAGATATTAATAAGAGGGTTATTTTGACTATAGCATGACTAAAGTAGTACTTTTTGACTTACCATCATCACACCACTTTCCTTTATTTGTCTCTTCACTTCTAAATGCATACTTTTGTAAATCAGCAAAAGTTTCGATAATGAAGCCAAAAATAAACACACAACAGCCAACAGTATCCAAAGTTGTCATAGTTTTAGGGGCTCCAGCTTTTATAGAATTATGGGGTGCATTGATAACAATAATAGGCAAACTAACAACAAGTACCCAAATAGCCTGGAGAATAATTAAAAAAGTAAATAACAAATTAGTATAACATAATATTAATAATAGTTTATAATTAAATACATTGCCAAAATAATACTTAGATCTTACTTGAAATGTCCAAAACACAGCAAAGCGAATCATATTACTGCGTCTATCTGGAAATGTAGCATCTCTTCCAATTTTTATTATTCGATAAAACAAATAAGAACTTAATCGAGCACCCCAAATACATACAAATAATGTTACCATAAATTGTCGATTATCATGTGTCTGTATATATATAAAAAAAAAGTAATGTACTAAAATAAATTTAATTACTTAAATTATTAAATTATTCTTTTTTAGTTCTTTATTACTAATTATTAGATTAACAAAGCATATATTTTTTCTGTATCAAATTTACAGTATCTATTAGTTAATAGTGTTAATACCAAAACATTTTATTTAATAAGCTAATATTTTTCTTTCAATTTAATATTTAATATATTTGAATAATGATAAAAAATTATTCCAATGATTAAATTAATTTAAGTATTATAATTTTTAAAATGAATATATTTATATTTTATATACTAAATATATTTAGATATTATTGTTAAAAATGTATTCAAATCCAGGGACTTGTATATGCAATATTTATACAATATGTTTGGTTGCCTATACTATTTTTCTATACTTTCATATAAATTATAAATTTATAATATTACAGGTATTTTTCGACATTAGTCTAAATAAATAAAATAGTATATCGTCAAGTATGTTTAATTTGTAATAGTTTAATAATAATTTTATATCACTACATACATTTTATAAAATATAATTGTATATAATGTAATTATTATAAAATATTTAACTCAAATAGTATGGTTAACATATCATTTAATAATTTAACCTAATTTTATTCACTTTGACCATTAGGTATTTAATTAATATTTAATTTATTAGTTTTGTTAAATCAATGTTAATAGTAATAACTGATATACTGAAAAGTAATAATTTAGCATATTTTACCTGAGCTAATCCATATGTTAGCACACCCACTAAAATGAAACTTATACCACCAGCAAAGTCTGCCACTTTATCATACTGAAATGTAACAGCAATAGTGAAAAATAAAAGTTGCATAGCCACAACAACAATAGCACTAATGCCCAAATGATATTTATCCAATACCGCGACTGCCATTTTGATGGCTCATCTACAAGTATGTGATACTACATGATGCTCTTACATAAGAATCTGTAAGATCATATGAAAAATAATTTTTTCTAAAGATTAAAGTAGATAGTAAACATAATTTTAATTAAACGAACCAAATGTTTTTATCCTAATAATCTAGAAAACAACATTTTTTCTATACAATAAAACTGGTAATTTCAATTAAAATAAGTACCAATTTAACTTGTAATTTTATTGTTATATTAAGGATCTAATTGGAATAAATCTATATGGTTTTTGAAAAGGTAAAGAAACTACTGATCATATATTCATGGTAAAGAATATAACAAAAAAATACTATAAATTTGGAATAGACTTTTATTTAATATTTATAGATAATAAATAGGCATATTACAGTTAAGGAAATATGTAAATAAAATAAAAATATTTAGTAAAATTTGAAGTATTAAACTGATGATATTATAGTGATAAAAGAGACTAAAGAGAAGGAAGCAATTTAACTCTGAAATTACTAAAGTCCATATTATGTTTATAGAGCTATTTATAAATGAAGAAAAAATAAAATACTTTGCGATTTCAAAGAACAAACTAAAAGTTAATGACTTATAATAATAAGAAAATCATTAATAAAATGTAATGATAAAAAGGATAATGACATTTAAATGAAAATGACTTTGTAATATATCAAACTTCAATCAAGAAATAAAAATATTTGATAAAAAAAATTAGGAACTACTAAAATTATAAATGCCAGATATTATTTTGTGTAAATTGATTTGTGATATACGATTGAAATAGTTTGGTCATGCCTGAAAATTGTTTGATCAATTGGTAAATTGGAAAAATAAATAGAACAAGATCTAAAAGGAAATCAAAGATATGGTGGATTGACATAGTTACTTAAGAATTGAATAATGTGTACTGGAATACTATCTTTGAGGTTACATATAATATGGAAACCTTAATGAAGGCAGAAATAGTTCCGAATGAACTGAAAAACTGAAGAAGAAAGAATAAAACCAGAATGAATAATTTTTTAAAACTATTTTATTATAACATAATTTTAATTAAATATTAACTATTATCAAGACTTTTTTGTGATACTGTAGTAGAGTTGAAGTTGTAATAAATACCAAATAATCTAATAAGTACTTAGAATTGCATCTAATTTTTTCATTAATGTACCTACTGATAATTTAAAATTTTAAAGATTTTCAGGAAATTGGACATAATTATTGCATGTGTACAACAATTATTGCACTACAATTAAGTATAAAACATTAGTAATTTTACCAATTAATTGGTGTTAGACGATATTGAAGACTTGTAAATCACAAACCATTTAGTTCCACTAAGGAAAATGAAAATAGGAAAAAGCTTGGGTAGATCACCTTACGAAGTACTTACGAGTTGTGAGTACCTAATTAGACATTAAGGTATCGCCACATAATTTCATCGTAATGCAAAAATGACAAGGATATTTAAAAACGAGCAAAAATAACAATAAGTTAAAACTATAAATCGACAACTTTGGTAATAGTGAATCGATCATTCGAATATTCAATTTTTGAGATCAAAAATATTATCAATTTTAATTTTTATTGTTTGAACTTGACTATCAATAGTATACCATAATAAATAAATGGTATATAAATTTTATCAGCTGATATATACCGCATGCGCATTATTAACTATTAAATAGTACGAGCGCAGACGCAGAGCCAAAATACGAAAATGAAAGTAGCAGCTGACAAGTGACAAGTATCTGAAACGAATTTATTGTATAAATACTATAAATAATATATTATATAAATATTGGCCTTTGTTTAAATGATAAAATAGATTTATTTAGCACTGCAAGCTATTGCCTACTATTACTAACTTTGATCATACACATTACACACAGTAGCTAGTACAGACTACAGATTACCAAACATCACTACACCAGTTCATCAAAGACATTACATTTTCGTGAACCTGTGTCAAGTGCCATATACCTATAAGTATAGACCACGGCTTTAGTATAGACTATATTCTGTAAAATCTTATCACAGGACAGGGAATAAATTAAACTTATTTAATGTTATGAAATTGAATGCCTTAATGGTTGCGTGTCCTACACTCCCACCCATTTATGTAGGTAATTCATGACGAACAATCGTTCAAAAACTTGACAATTAAATTAAAAATACTATCTCAACGGAGTTTTCATTCCATCAAAGCTAAAAAAAATACAAAAAAAGTGATTAAATCTGATACCAAACAGTGTCTTTGATATTAGACAGTAGACACTATACATTAACCAAAATTAAATGTGATTTATATAATATATCATGTATTCAGTTACCTACCTACCTAGGTAATTTAATAATCATCTTTTATATTGATTACTTGTAATTTAATTAAAAAAACTAGGCATTCTTAACACAGTTTATGTATTAATTATTGGACATAATAGAAAAAATAAAAATTGACTTTCTAAAACTACATTTTTAATAGATCTGTATAAACTATGAGGTATGACTGAAAGGTTGATATTATAATAATTGTATATAATATCATGAAATACATCACCTATGTAAAAGCATAATATTTTGTAGTTAAAATTATTATTTAATATTTATAGGCTAACGATTAAATTTATTAGTCCGCAATAACTGCCATATACGAGTACATATAATATACATATATTTTTAGGTCGTAAAAATATATTGATTTATTTTTGAAAGCAATGTAATAAATGTTATGACATTTTAAATCAATATAGTGACTATTTATAAGATGATGGCCTGATTAAAGTTATAACTTTTAAACTTTATTATTGAGTAACAGCGTCGTTTTATCTAAACTATCGTCCCGGTAATAGTGTTGAATTTAGCGAGGGTGATGAAATAGATGGGGGCATAAGGTTGATGTTCCATTTTAAGAAATCATACACATCCCTTTATTTTAAATTGTTATAGACTCAGTCGTATCTGCACTTGATCTACTTGTGTCTCGATTTAAAAAACACTTAATCAATAATAATATAGGTACTATCTACGTACCTACTTAGTTGAAATATTATTATTTTTTAAACTATCCAACTTTAAGTCTTTAACCTAATACCAAGAAAGTAAATTGATTAATCGACATATCAATAATATTTTTTTTTAGGGTCCTTCAGATTAGTAATTCTACCTCGGCTTTTTAGACTTGTGTTCTGTACTTTCAATACATATTAATATATTATCGTTTCTTTACAGACGTACAAACAGTCAAAGAGACTAAACAAATAAACTAAAAACTTGAAAATTATAATAATACTTAAAATAAAGTGATCGAGAACAAGATACGATGCTATCATAATGGTTAATGAGCAGGTAACAAAATAATATCAATAACAATAACAACAATAGTATTCTAACGGCAACGATAGTGGGGCACGGGCGAGTGCATCAACTGAACATCTTGGCGAAATCGCGGTGTCTCAAGGCAGCCCTTAGGACGCGAGTGACGCACTTGCGTCCGACAGAAGTCTGCGCGCACCGGATCTGATGCACAACAGACGCGACTCGGACGTCGTCCGGCGAAAAATGTGCACGGAACATGGTGGCATACACCTCATACACGATCCACTTGCATTGCATGGCCGTGACGGCCGAGTGCCGGACGGAGGCGCGCGCATTGGCGTACACGATCCGTGCGACCGCGCGCACCGTGTTGACCAGGAACGAGGGGTTCAGATGGAAGAAATATTGCTTGACTGCCGTGATGACGGCGAACGCCTTGTACGCGACCACGGACGCCACGTTTTGGGCCACGGTGGCCACCGAGTTGAACGATTTGCTGACCAGCACGATGGGCATATGATGCCAGCCGGGCCGACTGACTTTGGCGTATAGTGATCGGCCTGGCCGACCACGGCCCAACCCGTAGTCGAAAAAATGCAGGGGTCGGCGGTTTCGGCACGCGGAGGCGTCTTTGGTCACTTCGCCCGTGGCCGCGTTCAACCGGAAACCCAAGAATTTCACGGTCCTTCCGCTGCCGCCTTTGTCGTCTAGGTTCGTCTCGGTCTTGGACCGGTTCAGCCGGAGCCCGTACTCGTCAAATCCAGCGTGCATTGCGGCCAGGTACCGACGTGCGGAGTCACGGTCGGGCGACACGAACAGGTAGTCGTCGACAAACCGGAACAGCCGGCAGCCCGATGAGCTGTCCACCAGGTCTGTAAGCCGTTGGGCGTGCAGATCTGCCAGTAACAGGTCGCACAGGGCCACAGACAACCTGTCGCCTTGCACTACGCCCCTGGTCATAACTCGCCGGAGGCCACCCCGCTCCACAACGTTACACCCGATGCACCGGCGTACCGTGTCCCAGATCCGGAACAACGGCACCACATCAGTCTTGTCGTGGAACACAAGCGAACCACCTTGGAACTCCGGCGTTGGTAGTCCGCCAACGTATCTGCGCTTCTTACAGTACACGGTGCTGCCACCGCCGATTTTCACCTCGTCCACCGTGTGCACGGCCACCGTCTTCTGCTTCTTACCAAAACGCTCTTTGATTCGGTCTCGGACGACCGTTCGCAGTTTGTCGTGCATGAAGCTGGTGAATGCGTCACGGAAGTCCGTACGCACGAAGTACAAGGTGGCACCGCCACGGGACTCTTGGAGCGCCTTCCATTCACGGAAGAATTGTGGCCTCGTCAAGGACCGGTATTCGAGCGGTTGGGAGCGTGACAAGCATCGCAGAAACGTCAGACAATCGTCAGTCAGCCGCTTCTCGTTGATGCCTTCTTTCAACCGCAGCTTGAATATCAGACGCACCCCATTGGGTTTCGCGTACGGGCATACTTTCCAGTTCCTGTACGATGATGACGACGGCTCGAGTGGGTTTGGCTGGATCTGCTTGAAAAACTCGCTACCGTCGGCCATCAGCGGTGATATCTTCTCGCGACACATGTTCGCCCACTTAGCCTTAACCATGTAGACGACACCGTTGTTGGGCGTGGTGGTCATTACGATCTGAAAGCAGTGTACAATCCTGCCAAAGACGAACTCGTTGATCAGCCACACCAGCGTTTTGGTCGCTATCTCGGTTCGTCGGTCTTCGGCAACGCCGTTCAACCATTTAAACTTTTTCATCTTGATCTTGTGCACGACGTGCTGCACCGTGTAATCGTGGAACTTACCACCGTTCAACACCTGGCACAGGTTGTCGCAGAACTGGTCTCGGTTACCTGCCGTTCCGAACAGCTCTTGCGGCACGATCTTACGCACCACCGTTCTGGCGAACGACTTAACCCTACCTAATGGTACCTCGGCCGATGCGCAATCGCCTACTACGTCCTGGTAAATGTTCCAGTACGTGCGTGAAGTGTCCTTCTCTGCCATAACTTTGAGCTTGCGTACAAGCTGGTCGAGACACGCCGTGCCAACGTCCGTAGGACGACCGGCTATCGTGCCGATGACATCGGTTTGTAATATGCTGCGCAACATGTCGGACGAGTCTTGGCGTCCGATTGGTTGCACGTCCCGTAACAGGCCCGCAAAGTTAAAATATTTCCGTGGTGGCGGTGGTGGCAGTTTCGGTGTCCACCGCGAACCGGCCCGGACTCGGAACGCCTGCAACACTTCGTATCGGCCCGCGTGTTGTGATGGCGATCGCACGCAGTAGTATACGTGTCGGCCCAATGGTACAAACAGCAGACAGTCAAACAGCAAGCGGCGCATGATACGGGTACCGACGATGTCGTAAAGCCGGGCCCACGGTTCAGTTCGGATCAAATCGCTGACGGTCATCAAACATCGATAAACGTATCCAGAGCTTTCGTCGTTGTCGATTAGCTGCGGCTGGATTTTGCTGTCGCAGTATAACACAAATTCGTCCAGGCCGACGGTGGGTCCGTCCACGTCACCGAGGTTCCGATAGAAGACGTGTGCGTCGTAACAGACAATCACCGTATGAAAGTCCCGCAACATTACTGGATCCATGGTAAACACGGTTTCTGGAGATTGCGAGAGGAGTAATAGGAACTCTGGTAAGCTGTTCGTGATGAACTTGTTTGAGTCCGCTGCCGGCATTGCGTCCAGCAGTCGTCAATCATCAAAATCGTATTAAAAAACTCGCATTTTTGATACAGTAATACTCAACTAATCAATTATTTTATAGTATTTATCTTATACAACCGAATATTTAGTAATAAGTAACAAAATTATGAAATCAAACACAAAACCGTTAACCGCAATACTGTTTATCACAGGCGTTTTCACAAATCACGATATAGTTATCACGCTATCAGCCCCGGTTCTTCCACCGAGATAACAGCGGTAGATTGAGAAATAATAAAGTCGAGGCAGATAAAAAAACACAAATTTATAATCACGGCGTGGAAATGCCACAATATAATACATCATACAATATTTATTGTACATATCTGTGACCGTAATATGTCTTAATTACAATAAGATAATATATTATCCATTACTGTAGTGGCGTAGTACCAACCTGAAAAAAAAATGTAAAAAATACTATTTTTTTTCTAGACTTAATATTTTATTTTCAAATATTATTCTCAAATTATGTTGTTTGCACTGTAATCGAGTAAATTGGATCTACAGAGCGTGAATGTGGTTGGATTATTGTAGTTATCATACGTTTATTGGTTTTTTTTTAAAATCACGAATTCGTAAACATAACGTATTTTCTGAAATTAATACTCTATAGTCTATGGTAAATGACAATTGGTAATGTTACTGATATTATATGGTTTAGTGTTGTAGTGCGGTGTAAGAAATATCTGGCAATTTTACATTTATATTAATTTTATATTTTTATCTTTGGTACTTTAATTTTACTAGTGATCAATTATTCGAAATGTTTTCGTTGATGTCATTATAGATCTATTAAACTCGTGTCCGGTTTTAATTATTTTTGGAGTAACTTATAATAGTCCGATTGAGAATGAAAATAAACAAAACGGCTTTAACATAATTTGATACACACAATCGCCGCTTTATAGATTGGTAAGGACTTGCACACAAATTTCATAATATCGATATGGTTCTTCTTTAGCTAATCCGTGAGCTATTCAAAGATTTGTTTCCTATTTTTGAGCGTTATGGCTGGTAATTCCAGTTTTATTATTTGTTATTATTTCGAATAATAATTTTTTTCTTATTATACCGCTGAATTTTGATAAGAATGTAAATTTAAAAAAAAACGAATTGAAGTGTTTTTATGAAAATATTTAAAAAAATTTTCTTTAGAAGAGTACCAAAAGATAAGGATTTTAAAATAAATTTAATATTTGATAAGTGATTATTAATAAGAATATAAATTTGTATTTGTATAATTTCAGCACAATTTCATAATGGTACTTAACCGTAGAAGCTTAGAAAATTTGAAAAAACTTGTACCTGGTCGGGGACGAAATGTTGTTCAAGAAGAACAAATGCGAGTATTTGTCCGTATTAAACCATTACCAGAAGAAGATGATTTACTTAAACCGTAAGACTATTATTTTACTATATAAAATACGATATTATTTAACTTTTATTATTAACATTCAATTTTGATATACCTATCTACCTATATTTTTTTTTTTTTTAAATTAAATTAATAGATTTAGAAGAGTTTGCATTACTAAGTATACAAAATCACAAAATAAAGAAAAATATTCCAAAATAAACTTTGATACCTATATTATTGTTGAGAAAGTATTAAATTTCATATGCATACTATAATTCATAGGATTATACTTAAGATGTATTATTACTTAATAATTAAACAATTGTAACAAAAAAACAAATATCATTTACTGTCACCTTCGATATGTAGTTATTTGGTATTTTTATTTTATTACCATGTGATATGTTGTAGTTGGTAATTGGTCAAAAAGTCCATTTTAAAAGAAATTGAACAAAAAATCCAGATTCAGTATTTTTAGTTGAACAAAGTCTGAGCACGTTTTTAGTATGTGACAAAAAGTTTGAAAACACAAAATATTCTACTTAATAAATATTTATTTTAAAAATTTAAAAGTATTTGTACATATATATTATATTATATTATTATATCCAAAAATACAAAATATATTTTTGTTAGTTATATGAAATGATGAGAATAAAAAAAATTGAAAAATATACAAAGATTTTTAAATTTTAAATATTTATTATACAGAATATTTTGTATTTTCAGATTTTTTGTCCGACTATAAAAACTGAATCCACAACTTTTTGTCCAATTTTTTTTTAAATGGGCTTTTCGTCCATAATTTGTTATAGTTATACATTTTTTTTTTTTTTTATATTAACTAATATGTTCAGTAGATTTAATATCTATTGACCAAATTAAACATAAAAACTATATCATAATAAATATTACTGAAAAAGGATTTGTGGTATACAACAGTTGCCAATGAATACAGACATAGTTTTAAGAAATAATTTTGTAGGAATATTATGAAAGGATTTTTTTTCATTTACTAAGTCGCCTACTTAAATTACTAGAATAATAATTAGTATCTATTTGTAATCAATTATAATATATCATTCATATATACAACTAGATATTTTTATTTTTTAAACGTTTTTACATGAAATATTCATACATCAATACTGTACAAAATACTAAATTACCTATGAAGTATTATTCATTACATTAATTTTATTAATGTTCGAAAATTTAATTTCATAAAGTATATACAGCTAATTTTTCTCATTTTTAACACATTAAATTAAAATCAAATTAATTAATGATCATTTAAAATTTTTAGATTAATAAAAAAATTATGTTTCAATTTTTCCTAAGTTCTTAACAATCTTATCAAGTTCTCCTATATCTTTAATTGAAATTTGTCCTGAACCTCGAGATAATGGTTTTGGTTGTGATGGATCTGGTTTCCATCCTATCATATACAAAACTTGAAATGTAGCTGGAATACCTTTAGTATCACTGTTATCATCTTGATTACCATAAAGTTTATCATATATAGTAGCTGCAGAAAACATAGTATTTTTGTTTAGTCTCAAAGGTCGTTGTAGAACAGCATTATTTTCTCCCATGCCTTTTAGGTCCCACATTAGTTCAAAAATTGATGGATAACGAATAATTAGTTCATCTGTATCCAATGTTAACATAGAAAATCCAGCACTTTGCATTAATGCTCCCACATCTCTAAGACGGACAAATGGTGATATTCTAGGTGCTACACCTCCATCACGTTCGATGCCTGCTAATTGTAATGATGAACGTAATTCATACAAAGTGTCGCCTGCTAACATAGCTCCTAGAAAAACTCCATCATTTTTCAAACAATTTTTAATTTGTAGAAATGTTGAAGGTAAATTATTTACCCAATGGAGATTTAAGCAACTAATTATTAAATCAATACTATCATTTTCAAAAGGTAATTTTTCTTCGTCCACTACTATTTTACTAACCTTTACTTCAGGTTCAGGATTTTTAGATTTATTCAGAATTTCTTGGCATACATCACACATAATTAACTCTTTTACGTTGTCTATAGAAATGTGTTTTGATACATGTCCATATCCACAACCTAAATCAACCACTAAATTAAATTGACGTTTTATATCAAAGAGCCGGTCTGATAAACGATATCCAACTTCTTCTTTAATATATTCATAAACTGAACTATCTTCTGCTATTGCTGCTCGCTGTTTTTGAATAATTTTAGCTTTCCGATCAAAAACTGTCATTGGTGTAGGTCTATTTGCATTTTTCAATGTTGCTAATTTTCTAATAAATATTTTTAGTTTTTCATTCATTACTGATTTTCTTAAAATGTTCATTTTACATGACATTTGTTTAATTTTAAAATGGAATTAAATAATTATCACATCAAATACAAAAATATAAGAGAAAATAATTTATAATTGTCTCACAAAACTTAAAGCACTTAGTTAAATTACTCTACAACAAATAATATATTTGATAAATAAACTATTAAAGTTATTAAACAATAGTTACAAAATATAGTCGGTAGGTGTTTGGTATTTGTTAATTATTAATTTGTTCTTAAATATAACTTAAATAATTAAATTTGAGAACTGATAAATAATTTTTATTTAAATTATGTTTTTAAACTCTCAAAGTCTCAACTTACTCTAAGATCAAAGTCAGCACGAATAAGGCTTGATTGATAATTTACAGTGTTACCAAGTTAAATAATAATAATTTATTAAGAAATATACAAAATTTTACAATTATTTTTTTATTAAAGGGCTTAAAAAATAATTACATAGTTACAGATTGGTCCTAAAAAATATTCATAAAGAGAAACAAATTTTTATTCAGGATATGACCGTGTGTAGGAGTTACGAATTAATTTAAGACTATTTAAATCCAAACAAGTAGTCAAACTCGATAATTATTTTAGTGAAAACGTTATGGAACACTTCCACTGTATTTAGTTATGACAAGTATTTTTATTTTTTTTTGAACAACCACCATATTCAATTTTCACTTTAGATTTTGAGTAGAACAATAAATGTGTTTCCAACGATGTGTGTTTTTTTTCCCGTTTGTCATCACTTTTTATGGCAGTAAAAATTTTTTGATTTTCATAAATGGGAATGGTTTCTATAAAAATAGAAAATTATATTATCACTGAAACTTAGTACTATTGTGAGTGGGGTGGGGTGGGAGGTAAAAATTAAAAAAATTCCAGTACTTTTTTTAAACATAAGGAGGAAGAAACAAAAAAAAAAATAAATAGTTTGGCTACTACTTTTGTATTGCTTAATTTTAAAATACCTTAACTAAATAAAAACTTTATTAATTAAAATGTTTACTGATAAATATAATTATTAATTAATATTAAACCTTATTTTAATATATAAAAATTAAACTTATTAAATTTTAAATTAAGCCACTAGTTTTTAAATTTTTTGTATTTAACCTTGTTTTATGATTTACAGTAAAACAATAAGAATCAGAAATGATAATACTTTGATATTTGATCCAAAGCAAGATGAGACACCATTTTTTTTCCATGGTGTTAAACAAAACCCCAGAGATATTTCAAAAAGACAACATAAATCGATAAAATATGATTTTCATCGAGTTTTTGGACCTCAAAGTTCTAATGAAGATATTTACAATGAAAGCACTAAAGATTTACTTAACAAACTTTTGTGTGGATATAACTGTTCTGGTATGTACCAATTTTATATAATAAAATTTAAACATTAAAAATTTAAAAATGTTAAATTTCTGTATGTTTTTAAAGTGTATCATTTAAGACAATTATGAACTTATTGATTATAAAGTAATATGAACCCACCTTTCTTCTAGAAAAAGCTTAAAACATGATGTATATAATATTATGTTATTCATATGTATTTTAAAGTCAATACCATTATTTTTTAATTGAATGATTATTATTAATTTATGATATTTATATCACTTACTACATAAATGTTTTAATATTTTACTTTTTATTTAAAATTCATTTATTTTTGTATTGTAGTTTTTGTTTATGGAGCAACAGGTGCTGGAAAAACATTTACCATGCTGGGTAATGAAACTCACTATGGTATTACATATTTAACTATGAAAGATTTGTATGAAAAAGTTAATGAACAACAAAATTCTAAAAAATTTGAAATTTATGTTTCCTATCTTGAAGTAATGTATTAAAATATCATACTAAAAAAAATAATTATTTAAAATTATTTTTATTTTAGGTTTATAATGAAATGGTATATGACTTATTAGTAAGCGATAAAAAACCTTTATTTTTACGTGAATGTGGAAATACAACATCAGTAGCTGGCATTACAATAAAAATGGTAAATAATGTTGATGAACTTATTGAAATGCTACGTAGAGGAAATGACAATCGTACACAACACCCTACTGATGCCAATGCCGAATCATCTAGATCACATGCATTGTTTCAAGTGTACATACAGATGACATTTAAACATACAGATCAGGTAAAAATGGCCAAGTTGTCTATGGTTGATCTTGCTGGTTCAGAAAGAGCATCTTCTAATAAAGGGATGAGGTTTAAAGAAGGATCTAACATTAATAAATCGCTACTTGCTCTTGGTATGTTTCTGTTTTAATAATATTAAATAATAAATATTATGTTTAAGAATTTGAACTATTAAATATATTATTTAATATATAAAAAATTAAATATTTAATTACATATGTACAAATTAAGTTATATTTATGTATTATAGTTATATATTGTATATCTATATTAAATATCATATTTATTATTTATGATAGGAAATTGTATTAATAACTTGTCAGATGGATTGAGGCATATACCTTACAGAGATTCAAAATTAACTAGATTATTAAAAGATTCTCTCGGTGGAAACTGTAAGACTTTGATGATTTCATGTGTATCGCCAGCTATATCATCATATGAAGATACTCATAACACATTAAAATATGCTTCTCGGGCTATGAAAATCAAATCTAATGTAAATATTAATTTTGTGGGTTTTTAAATATTTCCTTTGATTATAATCTATAATACCTGTGTTCTTATTAAAGTTGAAAGAAAATGTAATGTCAATCAACCATCCTCCATCACATTACACAAAATTAATATCTGGCTTAGAAGATGAAATTCAACATCTGAAAAAAAAACACGAAGAATTAATGAAGTCTAAAACACCAGTACCACCAGACAATTTAGAAGATCTTAAATCAACTTTGGAATCTTTATTTGCTGGTAAAATAAAAAAACATAATGAAATTCTTCGTTTGGAATCAACACAAAAGAAAACTGAATTGAGAATATTTTTAAAGAAAAATTTACTTGAACGATTTTCTTCATTTAATGTTCCAAATTTAGATGAAATGGTTTGTAGTAATTATCATTTATTTTATTTTTAATTGATCAAAGTTTACTATTTATTTATTTTTGTAGACCAGTGAATTGAATCGAATAAACATGGCTATTCAACAATTTCAAGGGCGTATGGCTAGTTTAAATGCTCAATTAAATATATTATGGGATGAAGTGATTGCATCTAACAATGAATTAGACATGTTTATAAAAAAACTTGAAGAAAATAATGTCAAACAATTTTTAGATATTGATATTGTTCGTTTTAATGCTGAGGTATGTATTTAAACATTTCTTATTAAAACAATTAATAATTTTCATACAAATATTTAGGTTGTCATAGAAGAGCAAGCTACCCTCCTTGAGCATAGAAATGAAATTGGTATGATATTGGATAGTAACCTTAATATCAGTAATGAACTAATAACTATGCTTGCGGAAAAATCTAATCAATATTATACATTATTAAACGCACATAATAAAAATACAGAAGATATGAAAAAAAATCATATTGTAAGTAATCATTATGTTTTGACTAAGACATTGTTATGATAAAAAATGACCTATGTTTAATTAATTTGTTATTTATTTTTTGTTTTGATTCGTTCTAGAATGTAACAAAATCATTTTTGGGTGGTTTGAAAGCAGTTAGCTGGGATTTTTCACCAGGTAACCAATGTAAAATCAAGAGGGATATGTTTTTTAATTTAAATGAGCTTAGCATTGAAAATTTGAAAACCTGTACAAAACCTGAATTTTCAAGACCTATTAAATTAGAAGAATGCATGGTAAGTTATTAAACTATTTGAAGAATCAAACCTTTTAAAAATAATTTTCAATATTTTTAAGAGTCCGTTGCAAATTGTTGAAGATAAATTGGAACAAATCACATTACAGCCTGAAATTAATAAAATGGACACATCACCAGACTCAAACGCTGATGAAACTGTAGTAATTTCATCTCAAGCAGAAAATTTAAATAATACTTTTGTATTGAAACAAAATTTAGATTTAGCATCTGTTAAACGTCTGGCTACAACTACTCCTCATCGTAGTAAACCACCTATTGATACACGTTGCCTTACTAAATCAATTACTAAGCCTACCATACAAAGAAAAAGGTTGATACTCAATAATCACAAAGCTGGACTTACTAATAGGAAAGTTAATCAAGAAAATATGCCACTTATTATGGCTGCAACTAAGACACTGGCAGATCCAATTCTTGCCAAAGCTGTTACTAAAACACGAAATAATACTAATAATATATTAACCACAAAATCTGGTAAGTTGTATTAATGACATGAAATAAATAAAAATAAAAGGATGTTGGTTAAATGTTTTGTTATGGTTTTATGTATTAATTGTTAATTTATTATTAATTAAATTTAATGAATCTAAGTTGTATGTAATAATTGCATGCACCTAAAGATAGTTGAATATAAATAAAAATAATTAAACCTTTTATAAATAATAAATAAACAGTATATTCTAATTATAAATCTAATAGTTTTAGTCAATGTAAATTTTTAACATTTTAATATTAAGTATTAAGCCTAAGTGTAGTTTATATCAGGAAATTTTCAAAGGATTTGAATAGTTTATGATTTACACAATGATTTGAATAATCTGTAGACTGTTTTGGGTTTATGAAACTTTAACCTTAATTCAGTTTGGACATGCATGCAGTTCTCAATTAAATTTGCAAACAATAGTAAAATCCACATATTCTTTATCACAATAAACAACTGTAATGTATATTTTTTGATTTTACAGTAAACACAAGGATAACTTCACAAGACACATGTAAGACAATTAATGTTAAAAATCAAAAACCTACATTAACTATGAGGTACCTAATTAAATTGTAGTGTTTACACTATTATTTTCATTTACTTTATTTTAGCTGCATATATTTTTGTTTATTTTGCTTAATTCCATTATTGCGATTACCGCATGCTTCTGCACTATATTATTATGTAAAAATGTTGT